CGAACTCTTGAAACACTCTGTACTCTACCAATTAGATCTATTAAGAATAAATAAGATTGAAGCGGTAAAAGTGAAACGACGTCGATTATGAATACATCACAAGATGTGCTACTCGTATCAAGAACTGGTGACTCCTTCAAGTCCGGAGATAGCCGGGCTTCCATTGTCACTACTTCCATTGTCCCGGTTAGGTCCGGTACCAATTCCCTGATTACGGCGGGATGAAAGGCTTAGTGAGCTTGGAGCGGGATCGAACCACCGTCGGTGTAATGTTAACGACAATTACTGAAAGATTTTTTAATTAAAGTGAAAAATGTGAATTCTAACTAATAACTAACTTAACTAAACTTATAACCAATAACTAGTGATAGCTATCTAACTAATGGTTTTTTTTTCAACTAAAAATTCATTCATATTCACTTTTTAATGTTTTTATTTAACTCTGCAACATAAGCTCACCTCTGTTGATTATTTTAACATAAGCAGAAGAGCCATAAAACGCAGAAGATGCAGTTAGGGCATTTAAGAGCATGATGGGCCCCTTTTGAATGACATCGGTCGCGCAGTGCTTATTTTATTCACCTTCTTTGTGTGCACCGGTTGCAAGTCAGTCGTTTAGTTCACCTCTCAATTTTTTCGGTATATAAATGGCGTTCAGGAAACCGATCTAATAACAATTCTAAACTCTATAGGAAAGGGCAAAATAGGTTTCCTCCATCAGCATTTTTGAGATTTCACTCTACGTTTTCGAAATAACTGATGTCATTTTGTGCTAGCGCTATAAGCCACTTCAATACCTAAACTCCGAAGTCGGCTGATTTCCATTCGTGCGCGCGGTGTTCGGTACGAATTCGCTACTAGTCACTTCCTTTCCTTCTCTTATTTTGCCCTGTAAGGCCTTCTTCTGCACTTTCGTATTTAGTTCACAGTTTCACGCCAAAAAACACTGTAGAATATAACTTCTGAAAACTCTATGCATGAAAATTTACAAAAATTTGCTTTTTGTTAACTTATTCGCCCGACAACAAGAGTGATGCACGGGAGTATAGCCTTGGTCTAATTCGACTTACGCACACAGACTGCATGCTAACTGAGATGTTTTCGGACAGCGTATCACTTGAAACAAAATAGATTTTTCTTAAATATGGTTAGATTGTATATATACATATATATAAAAAATATATTTATATATAGAAACGAAAAGGTAATAACGCGTTTCTTCCCACCGCAGACACCTCCTGGCCGGAATTTTGCAAATATCTCAGCACCATTGTGGCTATACACATATAAATTTACGCAACTGGGCGCTTGTAGCACAAAAGCCGGAGGAATGTTGGAGAAACACCTTTTCTTTTAATGTAAATGGGATGATCTATCCCATGGAGTCGTAAATAGAAGCTATCTGCTCGACTATTGCTCGTTTGGTCGGTTTCGATTTTTCGGGATATTGACATTAGACAAGGAGTTTGTCTTCCTGAGAAACCCATGTTCTTCCCAAAATTTTTTGATAGATTCTTTATTATTGTTGATAAATCCTGTCGAGGAATTTGTTTTATGAGTTGTTGGTTATTGGCAAGAAATTCGCGGAGATTCACACTCAAATCGCGGAATATTTGTTTCAATTTTCTATATATCCCCAATGACCTACGTACTGATGCGGCCATCAGGATGACCACTGGTTCATTAAGACAGCTATTTAGGTAACGCTTGCTTGCTCCTGCCAAGAGAACTGGTGAGGAGTTCAATCTAAAGATCACCTGTATAACCTGCTAGGTCGTTCAACATATTGATTTTCCGACCTAAATACGTATAATTGGAGCATTCGGAGATATTCGTTCCGTTGAGCGTGAACATAACCCTTTTCCTTTATTTCATATGAGGTGGACGTAGCTCTCGACGAAATCTGATTAGTATTCGTGAATGATTCTCTCCATTACCTTTCTGGACGCTGTAACTGTTCCGTCTGGGCGCCGGAGTGCATTCATTTTGGTGTTGTAATTGGCGAAGCTTCGGTAGGCTTTGCGAATGCTTTTTCCTCCCTCTTCAGCCTCGACCATTACTGCTGCTCTTCTCTCTTTAAGATCTTCTTTCATCACCTGTCTGCATTGTTTTGCAAGTTCGGACGCTAGTTTGCGATTGCTGCAGCTCGTGCGATTCCACGCTGGCGTATCAGCTCGAGTGTTTCTGGAGGTAAACGTTTCTTGGTGACTTTCGAACTCTCAACTTTCATAGCACTAACGTGAAGATGTTGAATAAGCCGATCGTATTCTTCGTCGATGTTATCGAGGAGAGCATCTTTCCAACAGCTGACTAATGAATTGAATAAGTCCCAGTTTACGGTGGTTCTGAGACTTCAGTTTTTAAATTTAGCCACTTTTTCTACTTTCGGCGGGAAATAGAACCTTCTCGAAGGAGACGATGGTCTGATCCCGTGTAGAGTTTGGAGACAACAGCGACATCAGTTAGGCAAAACCTTCTATTTACTAAGATATGGTCTATTTCGTTATGGTACTCTTCATTGGAAGACTCCCACGTCCAGCGATGAGGGTGGGGCTTCTGGAATTGCGATTCACCATGGACTGTCTTGGGCGCCATGATAAACTCAGGCAGCCGCTCACCCTGTTCTTTCCATTCCAATCCGTGTGTCCCAGTGTAACGTTCTTCAGACGTTCTTCTTGGTCCAATCTTGGTGTTGAAATCTCCAATGATGACTTTGAAGCATGTATGGTCTTCTCTGCAGAACTTCTCCAAGCCTATATAGAACGCTTCGACTTCTTCTTCGTCAAAGTTTGATGTCGGTGTGTTAACAACGAAGATTGTCAAAACCGAAATTCATCTCCGTCTTTCTAATCGTAAACGTTCAACTCAGGTTGTAAGGTGTTCGAATGAATCGATTTTCATGGTCAAACTCGTCTTGACGAGAACGCTGACGCCGCCGACTCCTCTACTGCCGCATGTTCCGAGGAACAGTTCTTCTCCGGTGTCATAGACGGCGTTGAAAGGCGGGAGTCTTCTCATTTCGGCCAGGTATCTTACCTTTCTTGTCTTGCTTGCATGAGCAAGTCTTCTATCGAACACTCTGATTCAAGTGTGCGTGCATTGTAGGTACAGATCGTCACCATAGTTCTTTAAAATCCAGCCAGCATCCATTAGCCCTGAAATTTTAGCAGCCTCTCCATACTCGTTCTACCCAATGCTGCAAAATTGTGGACTCTTTCGTGGTTAGGGAAATGAGGACCGTCTTTTTTACTGTGTTTCGCATTTTGATATCCACGCATAGCTTGCTGGGCTCTGCACGTAGGGGCTGAGTATACTCACGCGTTGCTTGCCACGCTCTCCCTGAGTGGACATGGAGCCTATTTGTTGGAGGCGACTCCTACTCGCCTCCCATATACTTCCTAGTCACTTGATCGCAGACTTTTGGCCGAATTGACTCGTAGAATGCAAGCCGCATAAACTTGAAGCACTCACACACGCATGCGTGAATACGCCTAGCAAATGCAGAAAGTGTGTGCCAAATCGGTGCAGCAGAAACCAGGAGTCCATCTCCTGGAACCACATGCGTCTCAGGGAAGCAACAGTCGCTTTCGGCCCGCGATTAACCCCCTATCCGCCACCTGGAGACGCGTCACGTAGCCTCGCGCCTAACCGGCTCGAGATCCCTCAGATGAGAGAGATCCGTGGTTCAAAGATAACTCGCATAAATCTGCAGGTGACCATATTCTCTTTTTCGAAGGGTTTTGAGATGTGGAGCATGCAAAGAAATTGTGTGGCATCCATATCTTGTTCTATATTTATGTTTACGATCTAATAAACCGATCTTTTTGAGCAGAGTCGAGGTTGGTTCATTGTCGTTGTCGTTTTTGTTGATGTTGTTGGTCGATGGCTGACGTTTCGGCGACTTGACCTTCCTCAGAGCCTGGACATGTTTTATACAAGAATATTTTAATCATTCGGTGAAAAAAGGCTAAAGTTTAACGAAGATCAAACCTTTAAGTAGACGCCATACTGATCAGAAAAGCTACTCACCGTGCTGCTATGAGTGGGGCTGCCCTCGTGTTGTTCACGTGGGACGGCGAGCGAGACTCACCCATAGGTCAAAAAAACATTTTGAAATAACGCGTCAGGTGTGATAGTGAAGCATTTGCCTTTCCGGTTCGTCTTTGGATTTTTGAAATATCCAAAGCGCCTCCAATGTCTTGTGCGTTGATGTTTTCGATTTCTGTGTTATGATCCATGTAGTCACTTCAAAATCATGGCCATTGTGCTTATGTGCCCTATATGCGTGCCTAGAGGAGTGTTTTGACGAATTTGAGCTTTCCCATCTAGATGTTCTTTTATGCGGGCACAAAGTTGTCTACCCGTTTCCCCAATATATTCCTCGTCGCATGCGTTACATGAGACTAAGTATATTATACTTAAACTCATGCAATCCCCATTTCTCTTGTTAGGACAGATCATACAGTTTTCTAAGCTGCACAAACGATCATAGAGACGGTTTCGAACTAACTAACGCTGTAGGGTATTGGATGGGATATCAATAATCGTTACAAAATTTTCAAGACCACTTTTTCTTAAGCATCTCTTTTAATGGCGCAACTTACTTCATTTGATATGAAGGGTAGCTTAAAAGGGATCTTACTTACGTCCAAAACATTATTTTGGGGAATTACCCTACGTTTTTGTCTAACCCGAGAGGCTTCTACTTCGTAGCCACTGGAAATGGCTATTTTTCGCCCCAGGTTTAGCGATTCCTTCCTTCCTTTCCTCTTCTCCTGTGCACACATTTTTAGCCGTACAGTACATGTTTTTGATAAGTGCTTTTTTTATATGTTAAGGATGAGAAGAAAGGTAGTGAACCAGAATGTTTTTACTGCTTGGCTTACGGTGGTGAACGCGCTACTCCCCACAAAGGACAATAGCGCGTTCGTTCCTCACTGCATACACCTGCGATCCGGAATTTTGCAAATATCTCAGCATCATTGAAGTTATATTTCGCAATGTACACCCTGCCGTTAAAAAGAGTAGGCAGTAAATAATAAGTTAAAATTTTTATAATAGTTACTAGAAAATCGTCACTTTTTTAGGTGAAAAGAGTTTTGGCCCTGGCTTGGTTTCTGGAACGTGGCCTGCAGAGCAAGTTGTCGAGATGCTCGATGAGGTGTTAGTCGGTTGGCCAGAGATTTGGGGAGTAAGGTAGATAAGGTAACGTTTTGTAGTAGCTCAAGTCATTCAATCTTTACAGTCTCGGATACATCACTCCTGGTCTTTTCCAGCAGACCCTCAAGTATCTGGTGCTTCTCGTGGGTTTCATAGACGCACTTCTTCGCTGTAATCGTTTCATCAGGCAATGAGAAGCTGTGATGGATCAAATCAGCTGTGCACAACAAAACGCTCAGCATGGCTTTCTTCTGGCTCAAATTCACCCATGCCAAATACTGCGGCCTCCATAACAGTCTATCCACCCATCAAATCGTCGCCGGTTGTCACAGAAATTCCGTTTCTGGCCGCACTCCACAATATGGTGAAACAACTGATTGTTCTAGTTTCCCAGAAAAAACACCCGTTTGACCAAATTTCTTCGTCGTTCCAATTGTTTATGGATTCTCCTAAACATCTGATAAGCTCGCAGCTTGTTCTTTTGCAAGTTCTTTAACAGTCGTATGTGTTTTTCTTGGTCAAAGAACACGAGAGTACTAGAGGTAGAAAGATTTGTTCATTACAATACTGGCTGACATTTTAGCAGTTTTGCCTTCTTCAGAACCGCCAAGAGTCAGATTGATTCGCAACCCGCTCATTCAAACTCTCACAGCCTCAGCAGACAAAACTTATCGAACAGATGTTTATTAAAATAGATGAGTAACTGTTAAATAATTAAAATTAACTCGTATATAATGCTGAGATATTTGCAAAGCTCCGGACCGCAAGTGTATGCGATGGGGAACGAACGTGCGCTATTGTCCTTACCAGGGAGTAGCGCACTTCACCTCCACACCATCCGGGTCAAGTGCGTGGTGAAGTGCGCTACTCCCCGGTAAGGACAATAGCTAGCGTTCGTTCCCCATCGCATACACCTGCGGTCCGGAGTTTTGCGAATATCTCAGCTTTATATACGAGTTATATTTCGCAACATACCCTGCCATTAAAAAGAAAAAGGCAGTAAATATGAGGGTTGAAATCAAAATTAACTATTTAATATTGTTTTGTTTTCCGAGATTTTGATAGAATTTGACTGAGAAGATTGTATGTCAGTTTGAATATCCGTGCCGAACGTGCCGGTTCATCACCTTCCCTCTCATCCTCACACACAAAAACGGCGCTTGTAGGAAACGTGTTCCAAGCAGCGACCAACGTGTGCACGGGAAGCGAGCAGAGGGAGGATACTTGAAACTTGGCGCGGCAATTAGTCATTTTCCACTGGATACGAAAGTGTATCTTTTTGGGATAGGTGTAGAGGAAATCCCATGCCGCCAAACGATAACTCTACCGACAATAAGGTCCTGTTCTTTCTGCCTTTTATCTTAAACGAAATAATTACAGCTATTAAACGCTGTTTAAGAAGGGCCGGTCCAGAAAATTCAGTAACGATAATTGAAATGCCACCGATGACTCTAAGACACCAGTTCGAAACCGCCTGTACAACCGCCTATGTGCATTGGCTGAGTTTGCCTATGGGCTATCTGGTCTCTTGATTTGCGTCAGGAAAGAAATATGTTGGCCAGACGGGTAAAACATTATGCCTATAGCAGTTGCTAGTGGAAATTAGGTCTTCGAGTCAGTTCTCGGCACCTTATGATCACTACCTTCGAGTAGGATGCTCGATTTCGTAGAAGTTGCCACGCAGAACTTTTTCGTACTTGTCGCAGAGCAATATCTCAAACCTGGGTAATTAAACCGTTTGTAGCAATTATAATTCAAGAATAACGAAATATAAACATTGCTACAATACAGACTGCAATATTGTGCCATGATCAATAAATGAGGGTAACGCGGGTCAGTATCTTTGCTACAGGCCAGTAAAACAGTGCCATGTGCATTTAGAATACCTCAAAAGTGTCACAAGATCCAGGCGCATTAAGGGATTTATATAAGGCCGTAATATCTGGCTCACAAACAACAATACTAAAGGGTTACACACTATATGTTGGCTTCAGATGCGGTTCGGATAAGGTTAACGCGTTAAGAGCGACATTTAGTCTTGTTGTAACATTGCGATGAGATTATATGCTCACTTGTAGGTACAATGCAATTAGGTTAACGTGCTAAAGAATACATGTAAGCGTATGAGTATACTGTCATGAGGTTAATGTGAACACACAATAGAGTTAGCGTGTTCAGAGGTACATGACAGCAAAGTTACTATACAACAGTGACCACATGCAACAAGAGAGAACACCTTGGGGTAACTACAAAGCGCATTACACATAATGGACAGGAAAGCGAATACGGTATTGACGCACGGAACTATTTAAATGTCTTTTGGAGGAAACAGTGCTTTGGCACAGGTCCAGAACCTTTACAGGAAACACCTATCAACTTCGGTCTCCAGCTCTCTCGTGATCAGATGACCGAAAACGATTTGCCGGACAGCTTTATTCCTCTTTGTGTTATCGTACCCGTGATGGTTTAGAACAAATGCAACACACAAAAGGTTCCGATTGTATAAAATGAGTGTGGATCACAAAGGATGTTTACGACAACCAAAGTTTCACTCAACGAAGTGAAAACGCTTACCCACAGACCTACGATATAATGAAAGAATAATAACTATTCTGGCAATAGTTGCTATAGTGTCACCGTGCAAAAGAACGTCGAGCCGGTAAACTTAGAGTTAAAGCAAGTGCTCCACTAGGCACCCATTAGACAAAGAAACATAAGGACGAGGATTTTGAAGTACAAGTTACCATCCTGGCACTGGAATCAAAAGCACAAGCGCTTCCCTCGAGCATTCTGGGGCGATCTCAAGAGTCCGAAAATGAACCGCTGAGAGGAATACTCACATTCACGCGTGATACCGGACCCCATTTAAGACTGTTATTTCAATGTGAGAGGCACATTACCCATCCACATGAACACTGTAGGGTTTTAACTCTTTTATTTACTGCTTTTTTCTTCTTAATGGCAGGTTATGTTGCGAAATATAACTCGTATGAGATGCTGAGATATTTGCAAAACTCCGGACCACAGGTGTGTGCAGTGGGGAACGAACACGCGCTGTTGTCCTTACCGGGGAGCAGCGCACTTCACCACTACACCATGCGCTGCTTCCCGGTAAGGACAACAGCGCGTGTTCGTTCCCCATTGCATACAACTGTAGGGTTTGTTTTCACGTGAAATTGTCAGTGGAAGGCCCATAGAATGCGGTGAGAGTGCGAAGAAGATATTCCGTGTTCAGTGCGATTGAAACCTTACTTGATGCTTGGACGGCCCGTCCTTATTGTGCTGCTTCCAGCATAGTCTCCATTTTGCAGAGATTTGTTGGCTAAGCCATTGTGGTCTCCTTAAATCCCGAGGTCAGCATGGATAAAGTTTGCCCAGGTCTTCATCATCACAGACAGTCGCAGCCCTTGAGGATCAGAGTGAGATTTGCCATCATGCGACTTTGACACCAGTGCGTTGGTGGGTCCTGGTATTGGCTTACTCTTAGGTAGACTTTTTGATGCCCTCGCTGTACATCGCAGCTCGACACCCAGGAACACCTCCCAGCCATGATGAGGCGGTAAACCGTTGGGAGATTTTAAGACAGAACGGTTCGGAAAATAACACTTAATTAAAATTGTTTTAAAATTTTAAGAAAAGCTGAGATATTTGCAAAACTCCGGACCACAGGTGTATGCGGTCCGGAGTTTTGCAAATAACTCAGCATCATTGAAGTTATATTTCACAATGTATACCCTGCCGTTAAAAAGAGTAGGAAGTAAATAATACGTTAGATTTAAGAAAAGCCTTTTGAAGAATCGGTGCGTAGACACGACTTTTCCAGGAAATGTTGAGTATAACTATTTTATCGAGTTCCTTTATGAAGGTTAAAAAAGGATAAGAATTCGATTTTTCCGTAGTCGGGTCGATGATGATTATGAATCGTACCAAGTTCAAGTGAAATAGCTGAAATCACACAATCAGAATGGGGTGGGTTATTTTGAACTAAGTGAAATTAAGCTCGTGCAGGCTGATGAATAACTCTCCTTTTCACACCTGCTTTGTGCTAATCTTTGGTCTTCTTTGAGAGAAATGAAGCGCCAATGTATTCATACTCAGGAAGACTTACTAATTTGACGAGACCAGGCAACGAAAATATGCAAGTAAAGAGTATACTAGGTGAAATACAATATTATAGCACGGCATTTAACATAACATTATCTGGAGGCTCTGAAAACATTACGGCACTGCGGGATTTTCCTAGCTAACGTCACTCTTAACAGAACTATATTTCGAGGAAATCTCTCTCTACAGCTTTCCATCTTCGAAAGAGAATCTAAATGAAAACATGATTGAATGGAAACAATTGTATGTCGCTTCAAGAGTGTTTCATCCACATATCTCGTCCTATATTGGTTTAGCGATAAGTACAAAGCCGCTGCTAGCCAGAGGCGTAGCGTTAACCGATCTCCTTACTACTCAAGCTTACGCCAGTCTTAATCTACGTACGTGAACTGGAGAATCGGGCGAAGAAACTCTTACACTTCGTTGCCTAATTGCTGCTTAGAATCGTGTGAGCACCTCTGTTGAACATTAAAATATTTTCCAATGTGGAACTATGAGGCCGATGATTGAAAATTGCATATGCAGTGATTTTGTACTTATTTGATTGTCCTTCTCATAAAAGACATGTACCCAAACGACATCTATTGTGCGGACTGTGTTACACTTCACTTGCCTACAGGTCGACTAATATTTTGGTTGGCAGTACATTTGTAGGTAATTTCGTTACAATTTGGGATCGGTCATTCATTTTAGCACTGTGAAAATAGTAACAGTACGAATAAGATATGTGACATACTTAACTTTAACGCACTGATGAAGGAAAGCCACCAGAAAGTTAGTTATTGAGTAACGTCATAGCTCTTATAGCGACAATCTCGTGACCGTTCGCAGTAATCGAAAGAATGTAATTTATTCATTTGGTCATCCTCTCTTTCATTTTCATTTCATCCACCTAACCATACATTCACTTTCTTCCCTATCATAACTTTCTTACACGTTACATAATCCCAATGTTTTTATACGAGCTCGAGGGATGAGTGAAGATATTTGCATACCTCAAAAACTTCCAGTAAAGCTTTACACTTGGTTAGAATCGATCTCGACACCTCGCCGTCATGAGGCCGTCGTGGAGTTCGCCTGCACCAGAATCAGTTTCAGTCCTTGACGAGCGTCTTCGTGCAGTTCATGATTTTTGTGTGGCACGGAATTAGAATGCTAATGCCATGGAATATGTTTATTACAATCGCTGCACAAGTAAATTTTGCACGTTGTATTTATAATTTTCATATTTAGCTTTTTATTTAATTACATTAAGAGATTTATTGCTTTTTTGCTGAAGAAATTGCCACGGTCGTAAAGCTTTAATAGTTACTTTATTTACACATCGAGGTTGTATCTTATTGTTTACATTGATATACATAATATACACTATCTCTTTTCAGATCAACTGTCTTCTTGCTGTATCCGCTTTATCATCTGCATTCACCTAACCACTTAAGTACGTCTATAAGGTATGGATTCCCCACCTAGTTAGTTAGGCTAGCTACATAAACGTGATAGGATCGAGATGAGCTGTATAACTATTGAGAAAGTTGTATAACTTTGGATCTCATCACCGCACTAATCTCACGTTTTTTTCCATGAATCCGAAAATGAACCGCAAGGAGGATTTCCTTATTAACACGCGTGATATTGGGAAGTATATAAACCTGTTATTCTGATGGGAGGAGCACATTACGCTCCCGTGTGAATTCTGTGCGGTCGGTCTTCACACGACATACTCAGTGGAAGACTCATAGAAAGCGGTGAGTGTGCAGAGCTATGCTAAATGTGATTGAAATCTTGTCTTAGTGTTTTCTCTGTTTGGTTATGGAAGTGTTTGGCCGAATAGGTTGCTGTCAACTTAACCTTTCCAGGCTCTGAGGAAGGCGAAATCCGCCGAAACGTCATCTTGTACGTAAATAAGGAAATAAAACAGCACCTCGTGTTTCCTGAACAGAAGTAGAAAGATTCTCACGTTTGTTTGTGCAGATTGAGGTCAAACTTTTTTTTCCTATAGCGGTAGTAACTGAGGGTTTCGGTAATAATGCGGAAGAATGAGCTTAAATTTCATATGACATTGGTGTACTATGGCTTTTCTCTACTTTTTGGTTCTGATTTCATAAAGACAGCTGCAATGAAACGATGTCATAATAATGTCTTTGCATATTGTTCATTACTTCTCAAACCTCTTGACTTTGTTCTATATCGAAATCGATGTTGAAGTTCTTGTGGTTGTTAGCAAGCAACACAATTCTGGAAATAACCTAGGACGTGGTGGTGAACACGTCAACCCTCTGAAAGAGTGATACCGGATTTAATCCTCACCGCAAGCCCCTGCGGACCGGAGTTTTGCAAATATCTCAGCATCGAAAGACCGACTTTCTATGAACCTCGGCATAGATAGTTGATATATTTATTTATGTGATCTTATAAACTGATCTTCTTAAGCTGACGCGAGAGTACCGCACGTAACATCACGGCTCTGAGGAAGGTGAAGTCGCCGAAACGTCAGCCATCGTTCAATAACATCAAAAACAACGACAACGACAACGACAACGACAACGAAGATCTGTACCAACCTCGCGTCAGCTTAAGAAGATCAGTTTATAAGATCACATAAATAAATATATTTCAGCATCATTGTGGTTATAGTTTCGGCTCCTACTTCTTCAAAGCAGTGATGATCCTTGCCTATTGTCCACTGCCATTCGCCCTTTCCTCCTTACATGGGCTTTTGTACCTACACCGAGTCGAATCCAGTGGAGTGAAACACGGCTCGAATGAAGTAACCTTAGTTCCCTCCTTTGTGAGGGCACTGAAACGTTTGCATTAACAACGATTTGGTAGCAACATTTTTATAAACCCATGAATAAAAAATTTTTGCCTCGCTATAGCGAGGTTAAATAATGCCGGTTTTCAAAAGCACAACTTTCATGCTTTGAAAACGAATTTTTGAAAGAGCATGTAAACAAGATCATGTCCATGAATGAAATCTCGAGGACAACAAAACTAATGAATAAAGGTGCCAGGACAGTAAAAACGCTCGAATTAGGATCTTCTAAGTACCTAACTAAAACATTCTATACAGAAACAGGTTATAAGATCTAAGCTAGCTTATTAAGTAAAGGTATTAGTTTAATGGGGATAAATTATGCACCAGTTGTATACTAGACCACAAGTAATGCGCCATTTTAACAACAGATCACAACAATAAATCATTATTTGATGCCCAAAATATCAGATCCAGAACGGCTGACAGAGTTCTAACCGAGTACTCAGAATCCTTCAATAGAATCGCCGACTTGGGTATTTCGGGAACTCATTTTAGTATCGATGAATTTTGAGACTCAAGTGAAGCGAAATTCTTCAGTTGAAATATTTATCTTTGATATGAATATACATAATGAAATAGTCAGTACTTATTGCACAATTTGGTTTTATGAGTCTTGATGAAACTTCAACTATTGAAAATAACCATGCCACTCTCTATCGTTTTGATCCCTGCTTGACTTTATGGCTGAAAATCAGGACTAACTTCATTGTTAAAAATCTGAAGCTAAAGGTCGTAATAATTCCAAGTGCAAACATTCAAAAAGACTCACAAGCCTCGCGTTTTTTTGAATCTTACCTAGATAAATGTGATTGAAAACAGTAGCACTAAAGGCCATCCAAAGCAAAAAGTACGCAAAAACAAACTTGCGTTTCTTCTTTTGTCGCTTCTGAATTGACGGGTCGATCTACCATTCGGCTTTTCGGAGGGCTATCACTAACAAAGCGCTCGTACAGCGACTTTTCGCCGTTAACCTAAAAATGCCGTACACCTAATCGCTTGCGAAGAAAGCATTTTCGTCTGATAAATGTTGGAAATGACAATTTCTTGGAAATTTCGCAAAATATCATTGGTGCGTTACTCGTTCTCCGACTGGCCAGTGACTAGTAGTAGACGTTGCTAGCGTCTTGGAAAAAACCTAGTCGTAAAGCCAAAAAGCTTCCCTCCATCCGATTTACAGTGGCTAGCTCTTTTCCATGATAAGGAATTAGGGTTCCCTCAGCATATCCATTTTAGCATTCGACGATAATTTATACTAACCCACATGGAGAATATTAGCTAGGAGAGAACGTGGCAGGACTTCAAGTTGCCGCCCAACTCAATAACAAACCCTACCACTCTTTTGATTATGACCGGAGGTTAATGAAGACTTTGCTGGTTATCACATGGTGCAAATTATTTGGACATTTTTAAACTTATGTAATACGAAATACTCACTTTATCGGAAGGAGTCAGTTTCTGTGGCGACCCAGGCAACTGATTCGACGGCATCGACTTTATGAAAGTACAAACCTAAGAAAGAAAAAAAGAAAAAGCATACGACAAGTTAAAATTCTAAAAGATAGGTAAAAGAGTTAAAAATTACCTCAGTCATACTAGCTCTATTCGACGGATCTTTGACGAATACTCGTTCATGTATAAACTTACGAAATGCCTCAGGGCAAAGTTCAGGTAACGTCAGCATTTTTCCCTCGATTAGCTATAATGATTGCTAACTATATTATAACGGCAAAATACAAATGTGAATAGAATCTTTAATAAGAACGATCAGCCATAAAGGCCTACAGAACGCCGCCATGGACCGGAATAATTACACCTTGTGGAAACTTCATTGAAAAAGGTGGAAAAAAACTACGATTACATAACCTCAGTGGGAAGTCTATGGGAAGAAATTGTGAGATTTTTTGTAAAATTGAACAAGAATAATAAAGAATTGTCAATAGAGTTTGTGCTTGCTAAACCATTAAACGTTTTTTAAGGTAACAGTGGCAGTTCTCCGTCCATCAACCACCTACACCCACCTCCTCTTCGGAAACGGATTCAGTTCATTTCAGGCTCAACCAGTGGGTAGACCAGCGAGAAGAAATGTGACATAATACTGTGAAATGACAATAGTAGTAGAAACGAAAGCCACACATCTTTCGTTTCCTTCGATAATTTATTATTCTTGTTTAAAACATGGTAAAATCAATGACATCGCCGTTGGTCTCAACGACAAAACACCTCACCAGTTTTTTCACTTCTGTATTGGTAAAACCATCCCATGGTTCTTTTCCACTGGTAAAGATTTCGTATACCATTACTCCATAACTGAACACATCTGTCTTCAGTGAAAATGTGAAGGCGCTGATCGTCTCCGGTGCTAACCATTTGATTGGTAACTTTCTCGAACTGCGAATAGTGTACTGTGTGCCCAATCGTGATAGTCCAAAATCACTAATTTTCACCTGAAATTGCACAATGATATCAATTCTCACCATATGCGTCATATACTCATCAACAGCTGTAGTTCAGATATTCGTAAACAAATTACAAACCACTTTGTCTTCCGAATAGAGGCAATTACGCGCCGCCAGATCCATATGAATGCAACTCTGTTTGTGAATGTATTCGACTCCTTGCGCTGCCCCATAACACATTGACATTCTCTCAGACGTACTAACTGCTTCTCCATGAGTTTTCAGATAAACGTTAAGCGATCCACCTTAAATATTAGACGCTGTTTCTTGTTCTTGGGTAAGACGATGTGCTACCAATCAATGATTCTGCGATTGATTGAAAATTCCAGAGTGCTAAAGAACAAGAAATCGAAGAAGGTGAGTGAGTGTCTGGAACTATTCACAGAAGACCAAGCCGTATTACAAAATGACTAGCTAAGAAAGACTTCACAGGAAAATAATAAAGCAACAAAGAAGTGCGACGATTCTCCAAGCACAGTAACAGGTTCAGAACTAGGAACATCATTCAAGCGGAGAAATCCGAAATTTCAATCTAGAAACAAGACTTAAGGAAAGCCTATATCAAAGAAGATTCATTCGAACAATCGTTGACTACCTTTTCCATGAGGAAAGAAAGCTGAATGTGATGAGATAGTTCAAGTTGATTGACCGAGTGGAGCCCACTGTATAGATTTAGCTTGCAACGAGAATAAGTAGAATATTTATTGGTGCCCGCGACAACTTCAAATGCTTCTGTGTAAAAAATAAGTTAGTGTTTTCACTTTTTAGTCTGCTGCTTTAAACTCCATTGAGTAGGTGCTGATGAATGGGTTGGAATCGAACGTTAGAAGTACTGCGCAGGAAAGGAAGACGTCCCTCTATCAGTGAGTACCTTAGTGCTACCTTTTGACTTACTTACATAACCAAAAAGTGTGAAAGATGGCTACTTGCTCTCGTCCAGCTATTTCTAGGCTTGGCAATAACTATTTGACGTTGATTGATACTGCACAATAGCCCGTGGATCTCAGTGGCACGAAGAATTGAGATCGTAACAACATGCCAAGATGAGAAAGCGGTGATGATAGCAATCTTTTGTAATCAAATCATCTTTGGTTCTCATTGTCTAGAGTCAATTCATCCTAATCTAGTTCCTGGGAGAGTGCTGCCTAGCTGGAAAATCTCTTCATTATTATTCAAAAGCACTGAGCCGCTTGCAGTGCTTATGGGAGCTCACCTTTAACAAGTTCAAGTAAAATGTAGAGCGGTTGTTCATCAACAGCCACACCATATAGCCTCACGATGTTCCGATGCTTAAAGTTTCGTATGAGCCTCGCTTCTCTCATCATCTCTTTAATCTTTGCTTTACTCATATCACCTGTCCCTTTTGCCTAAAAGAAAAGAAAATGATGATTTGCTTTTAACCTACAAATGTGAGTCAAATGTCTAGCATACCAATTTTATGGCCACCTGTAGAGTTTGTTGCTTTCTTCGTACGGTTCCCTCTCGAACTTCACCGTATTGGCCTTCACCAAGAAGTTTTCCCAATTGAACGTCATTGTGTAGAAATTCCCATCGTTGTTGGGAGATGGGAGTCTTTAGGATAAATTTAGACTAAATTGCTGGCTATTAATTAGACTAACAACTAACAACGTCATTGGTTAACTTCGAAACACTGACTCTGTTCAGGTATCCTGGATTTTTTTGGTAGTATTCCACTAGATCCTTTATTGTATCAAATGGTTTAGAGATTTCTACGAAATATTTCGATGATAGCCTTCGAATGATGATATTTTTTATCTGCAAATGAAATAAAAGTCGAATCACTATAGCACCAACGATAGATGCTATTGACATCGGTGAATCGATCCGATAAAAATCTATAGATTTCGACGATTAAAAAACGTGGTGCTTAAAAATTTAACCAGAATACTTTTCTCTTTTTTTTCTCAGCATCCCATTACTTTAATACTCAATGGCATTTACTTTCCGATTTCATATTGCTTAAACATTTATACCTCCCAGCGGTTTACCGCCTCATTGTGGCTGGAAAGGGTTCCTGGGTGTAGGACTGCGATGTACAACGGGGGGATTCGTCCCCCAGCAGAGTCTCATAAGCTAAGAAGGAGTCCGGCGTTTCCATAAGGAAGCCTAGCTAAGAGTAAACCAATACCAGGATCCACCACCGTCCTGGTATCAAAGTCGCATGGTGGCAAATCTCCCTCTGTTCCACAAAGGCTGCGACTGCCAGTCGTGGTGACGACCTGGGGCCAAGGTGTTTTCGGGATTCCAGGAAACCGCAATGGCTTAACCAGCAATTCTCCGAAAAATGATGATTATGCTGGGGACCGCGCAACTAGTGAGGACGGGCCGTTCAAGTATCAAGTATCAAGTAAGTAATTATTTATAAACTTTAGCCAGATTGCTATTGCAGGAGTTTTTCGGTGTGTCTCATGTGACGGTTATGGGCTTAAATATCACGAAATGTTATCGTATACTTGCTCTAGTTGATTCGATGTTGATGCTCAGGGTATGTGCTTCCTTCCTCTTATACGCAAGATTCGCTTATTATTTCCAGAAGAGAGTAGGTAGGAATGGTTGTCAATGAAGAAATAGTAAAAATGCCTCATATTTGTACTGATAGATTCAAATAAGACCTAGCTTTGGAAATTTTTTGTGCGCCCACCGATTCGACTGATTATTAATGAAAGCGACCTTCAGTTGAGGATTTGGTGTTCCCATCACAGATGCAGTTGTGTCAGCAGGAGGAATTTCTACCGAAATCGACAGAACAATTGCACGTTTTCGTGCCGGATCATCCAACTACAATTGGCGATTTAGATGGCAAAAATACATTACAAAGATATCGTCGAACGTTCTTAACTAGAAAAAGAAACCTACAAAGGTCACTGTTTTTTCAGCACTATCAACTTCACTGATTCGTAACAAATAGTCTCCTTCGTTTTTTAACACAAACAACAAATCTTCACGCGGTAGAAAACCATGGTAGAAACTGAACTCCTTGAGAACCTTTAATGAAATCGTTAAAGAATAAACCTTGCTTGGTGTTCAGTTGTTTTTTAATTAATTTAAAAGTGGTTCGAACGAAAAGTGAGAAACCTTTTCCTCTTCTTTGTCAAGTGAATTTACTACGGCTCCTGGCTTGTTCGGTGCTGACCCAGGTTTGTCCGGCAGGACCTCCGACATCCACGTTAAGGTTCAAAGCTAAGAAGTGTTTTCCCACCAAGGATCTCGTCTTTTATAGAGTGACGATATCTTATCGTTTATTTATAAGATGATGATACGTTATTATCTATCATTTTGTTTACTCCACTGGCAGTATTAAAGAGCTCATTTTTAACTGAAAAAAATTATGTGGAATACTTTTCGGGATTACTCATGCTAATAAAGGAAGATGTGCATTCCTTATTACTAAACGACTTTAGCATTTTTTTCTCTTCTTCCTTTTTTTTCTGAAAACATGATGTCACAATATTTTATTTACGGGTGAGTGTCCATTCCATCAGGAAGGAAAGCCCTAGTTCGCCCCTCGATGCTTCCCTTCACACTTCATCAGCGTTTTATGATGTTAATAAAAAAGACGAAATCCTCAAGCAGCAACAGAAAGAAGGTTCGAAATGTTGAGGACTTTTGTGGACGATCAATGCGAGGAAAACGAATCGAATGCAAACCCTGAGGTCTGTGCAGTAGATCATGGATGGCCATTTACGTAAGCAGCGATAAATCTTTTATAATGATGAGATATTTGCAAAACTCCAGACCGCAGGTGTCTATGGTGGGGAACGAACGCGCCATTGTCCTTTCAGGGGAGTAACGCGTTCACCACCACACCATGGGGGTCCTTCGTTTCGCCTGTCTCTCAGCTAGTTCTATCGATCTTTTGCCATCAGCAATCACCCATCAACGGGATTGATATGGGGAGCCCAAATCAGCATTGAACCCAGTTAGGTTGAGGCTATAGTTATAATCGCAATCTTAACCTTTTTTTATTTACTGCCTATTCTTTTTAACGGTACGGTATGTTGCGAAATATAACCGGTGATTGCTAATGGCAAAAAATCGATAGAATTAGCTGAGCGACGGGCGAAACGAAGGACCCGCATGATGCGGTGGTGAACCCGTTGCTCGCCAGAAAGGACAATAACGCATTCGCTCCCCACCACAGACACCTGCGGTCCTGAGTTTTGCAAATACCTCAGCATTATAGAAGTTATATTTCGCAACATACCCTGCTGTTAAAAAGAGTAGGCAGTAAATAAAAAGAAGATTAATCTTTTGTTTCTCGATCGAGAAAATTTACCATCTATCTTTTTTTCAGAACATGGTGCCAGTTTTAAGTTGCATTCATAGCTAATTCGAGTGTAATTCAATACGCGTAACACTTTGTTTACGACGAAAGGAGTGTGGAAGCGTATCGAATTCAACGCCGTCCGGATAGAACTCGTTGCGGACGCTTGTGTCGCTGAACCGACCAACGCCATTCTTTATAGCGCGAAACCCTACCATTCAAGTAATTAGAAAGAGCAAAAGTTTTCATGCGAAAGTCGCAAACGATCTAAGTAAGTTCCATAGAGGCTCCGCAAAGGAAGATTGCTTTGTACAGCACCGAAAGTCATCTTAGGTTCTCAAACACAAGCGAATTTAACATTCTCATCCGTAAATTTAGTTACGTTGGAGCGATGCACAAAAGAGGGCTAGCGTTGCCTAAAGACAATGAAATTAAGGTGTACCGTGCCAAAGATGCTATTTGTCTTGTGAACGACAGAATCCTGCTCTTTAGCAGAGGATTTTTTCATTATTTTTAACGCTGTAGAGAATACAACCACAACGTTGCTGAGATATTTGCAAAACTCTGGACCGCAGGTGTCTATGGTGGGGAACGAACGCGCTATTGTCCTTTCTGGGGAGTAGCGCGTTCACCAGCACACCATGAGGGTCCTTTGTTTCGCCTGTCTCTCAGCTATTTCTATCGATCTTTGCCACAGCAATCACCCGTCAGCGGGATTTATCTGAGGCGTCCAAATCGGCATAGAACCCAGTTAAGCTGCTGCTGTAGTTGAAATCACAATGTTATACCTTTTTATTTTCTGCCTGCTATAATTTCGCAGCAGGGTACTAAGCGAAATACAACCACAACGTTGCTGAGATAGAACCCTGCCGCGAAATTATAGTAGGCAGAAAATAAAAAGGTATAACGCTGTAGAGAATATTCTCCGCAATTATTACCTACCTTGCTATTCCATTATACGTTTGCCATGTTTAATACTTGTTGTTTCGAGTAGTGTTTCTGCCAATCCCTCTCATTATTATTACCATCATCATTACTGCGGAACTAATTGCCACTGGAAGTTGTCCTCCGTGTCCATGTAGTGATCTCGTAATATGCTTGCACGTTACCACCCCTGCTCAGGATGACAGCACTCTACACATTTGCATGCCATACCTCTACTTTTCTCTTCCTGACTGTTACTGTTATGTGTGCATACAGTGATACTCAGTCATGTGTAATCAGCGAAAGCGCTCGATGCACCACCCATCGGCAGACAGTGTATGAGGTCTGCCATTCATTTCCGGATGCTCAGCTATATCCCGTTCCACAGTCGTTCAACCACATTTTTTGTAATTAACGAAACATAAAATCACCGTTTCTCATAATGCCACTTAAAAACTAATGCGGAAGATACGTTGCCACGGTTAGTGTTCCCATTGCTATCTGTTTCAACCCTATTTCCTGATCACGTTTATGTTTTTCACATTCAGTTTCATGTTATCACCAAATCATTATTGAATTATTACTGCTATATTTCACTAACCATCTTTGAGATCTGCCTTTGTCACAAAGCCGAAAAGACTCTTCGGCAGAACGCATCACACAACAAGCGAGCCACCTCACTTTATGTGTCAAGGAATTATTTTTATTTACAAAATTTTTTGAACTATCGAAATTTTCAAGCACAATTTTTGCGCTAACATACTTACTTGTAAATTACTTTTTTCTCGAAAAAAACTCATAATTATCGATTTTTGGTAACTAGGACAGCACCAGTTTCACCTGGATTCCCAATGGTTGTCCACTGACGTCAATGGGCGGCGGTACTGTCGCCAATTGTCTTTACCGCGTACAGGATTAGGACAGTGGTCCTGTTCACTCCAGAAACTTACAGAGCTATATCGTTTTTCATGAGTGTTCGTGAAGAACTCCTGCCATCGGATGGGTGGTCGTCCTGAGATGCATTTCACATCGCGAGGAATCTAATCGCTGCTGCCTCTTCGCTTGTACAACGGTTGTCATTAGATATTAAATAGGATGTGAGGAATTCAAGGAATTCAAAACAAAATAGAGTCGTTAGAAGAGCTTTATTCTCTCATTTAAAAGACAGATGCACCTTTTCCAGAGTATTGTTTTTATCTAAGAAGTCCGAATTAAAACGTTAGAAAATTTTTAGTTTAACGTGAACTTTATTATTTTTAATACAGTAACCATCACAACGGTTTACCGCCTAATCGTGACTGGGGTGTTCCTGGGTGTCGGACTGCGATGTACAGCGGAGGGATTCGTCACCCCGAAAGGGTCTCCCAAGCTAAGAAAAAGTCCGGCGTTTCCATCAGAAAGCCTAGCTAAGAGTGAACTAATACCAGGATGCATCACCGTCCTGGTGCCAAACTAATCGCATGGTGCCAAACCACCCTCTGATCCACAAAGGCTGCGACTGCCTGTTGTGGTGAAGACCTGGGTCAGACTTTGGCCAGGCTGTCCTGGGGATTCCAGGAAACGACAATGGCTTAACTAGCAAATCTCCAAAGAAGGGTGATTATGCTGGGGCCTGCACCACTGGTGAGGACAGGCCGTTCAAGTATCAAATAAGTAAGTAATACGACAACGACTACCACCATCATCACGAGCGGACGTGAATAAAATTCCACTCGTTCAATCGCTTCGCTGTTCAACAGGAGAGTGTGAAGAAATAAAAGGAAAAAAAGTTTTGTGGTTTCAGTGAACTAGGAGTTTCTTCACATCAAAGTAAAACGTGAATCTAGCTGAAGAAAATTGGCACCTTTAATCGTTTTTATTGGAACTTATGAAGTTCACTATGTGCTGAGATATCTTTGTTTGACTTTGGAATTGCACTACGCGACCATTGTTAAGCGGGCATGCATTGAAATCGAGGCATGGGATCTAAATTTGTTAAAACCTATGCAAAAATCCACCTGGTAATCGAATACTTATGAAGACCCTAAAAAACGACGCGAAAATGGCAAAAAGAAAGATCATTTGTTCAAGACCTCAAATAATGTAGTTATACGTTGTCAGTTCGATTACAGCCTCAGCAAACTGCGTTTTGCAATTTGTGCTCTCGAGATCATTCTCGCAGACGGATTATTGCTGTTAACACCGTTGGGGTAAGAAATTGGCTAAAAGTAAAGCAAAGGAAGGGTTTCGATTGGTAGGATGGACGGTATGTGATCCCTAGGAAAGAGTAATCAGGAGTTCGAATCTGGGCTGGAGTCTGAGCTTTGTAACTATGTGAGCATGACGGTATTGTAGTTTACTTTTTACTAGAGCTTTTATTGAATTTATATAAATGTACTTATGTATGAGTGGGTGCCATAATACTCTTCGGATTTTTTTGTCTAAATTGCTTACATTCTATAAAACACACACGATATATCTCAACTACATTGTGCATCACTCTGCACCTACATCGACATTTCTTGAACTATGACTCGACTCTATTTATACGAGCGGAAATAACCCTCTCAAATTATTTTCTTCAAAGCGGACTTGCTCGCATTCTCGCAGGGACCATAATTCTTTACATCTTCACAACACAACCCAGTATAATTCATTTTTCCGGAAAAATATTGACAGTTACACATTCGTGAACTGATTCAAGCAGTTGGGGCTTTTGTTACTTTTTATATGAAGCAGACGAGCAGCAAATTCAGACTTGATGACGTTTTTGATGATGTTTGCCAAGAGCCATACTACTTTAATGTGGATTCTGCTGGTGAATACAGTAGCAGGTGACGCGCAAGAGCGATTCCTATCTAGGTTACTTACAAAACGTTATGATTCTACTTTAAAAATTAGCACTATCATAGTAAATTCTTGCGAACATATATACCGCTTCCGTGTAGACTCCACATTTCAGGTGTCCTTCACTCGATTATAGACGATGTACGGACGGAATTTTTTGCATCCACAAAAGGTAGTTTTTTTCTGGTATTAGTTAATGATAGTTTGTGTTCCAGGAGATGGATCGCAGTGGTAGTGATGATGTTCACCATGAGCACAGTGCCATTTCGACCCACCTCCGATCTCACTAAGCTTCCCATCCCTCCGACGTCGACAGATTGCTACCAGACTTGTCTGGGAACAGCTCCCCTCCCTGCAATTCAGCTGAGAATGTCCGAACCGGGCAATCCCAGGTCTCGAAGAAGAATTGACTTGACCAGCTTTCAACGATATTCATGAGAAA